AGCAAATATTTGTCTTTTCCATTCTGTTTTAACACTGCAGACAATATATGCATGGCTCTCTGGTGAAGCAATGTGCATATAAGTGACAAAACATGGAAATGTAGATAAAACTTTTAAAATCCTAGTAATACTACAACAGCTTCTTTCCTTATTTATTCTGTCAACATCCATTCCACATGAATTCACATTTCGGTTCCAGGAGGGCATGAGCCATAAGCCCTAATCCCAAAGACCACTATCTGTGGAGGGTAAATAGAGCCTGCTGCCAGTATCTTCTGGTGGCAAACTTGTGAAAATCTTCTGGAAGACTAATAAAATCATATTCCGATTATTTGTCTTCTGGATTCGGGGGACCATGGAAATAGAAAAGGATAAAAACAAGGCATGCTTTATTTCTGAGGTTTCTTGGACTGGGAAGTAGAAAAATAGGTGTTTTCCTTTGGGGTTTTTTTTGTGGCCGAGAATGGTGAGGTTGGTATTTCTGAGAGCACTTTTTCACTTTCCTCAGTCTTTAAGGGAGTGGTAGGCTTTGGTAGTCCGGCTGTTGACAAAATCTGTCTTCTTAAACTGAGCCTTTGGAATAAGCAAACAAAAAATATGATCAATAACAACGTTTGCACACACAAAACTGCAGTTCTTAGTGATTTCCCACCAGGGTCAGACAAGTGGGCCATTAGGATCTGGCTCTGCTAACTAGGACACATGCCTTTTGAGCGCTCTTACCTTCTTGTAGGCATTGTGGAGCTCCGTGTGTGTCCACAGGGCATATAAGAGAACAGAAGCGGCTTTGCTTGCCTTGTTGGAGGCAGAGCTGAAAGAAGAAAAGGACATTCCGAGATCAGTGAGAATGTGTCTGAGGCTCCTGGAGGTGGCTGTTGGACAGTCTGTAAATCTTCTTTAACTGCTGTTGCTCAGTAGCCATCCATTAAGTCAGGTTACTCACAATGACAAGAGAATCAAATGGTAAGCTTCAGGCCAGGGACCACTTTTTAGAAAGTCTCATTATTTTTTAAATATATTTTTATTGATTTCAGAGAGGAAGGAAGAAGGAGAAAGAGATAGAAACATCAATGATGAGAGAGAATCATTGATCACCTGCATCCTGCACATCCCCCACTGAGGATCTTGCCCACAACCCGGGCATGTACCCTAACCAGGAATCAAACCGTGATCTCCTGGTTCAAAGGTCGATGCTTAACCACTGAGTCACGCTGGCCAGGCTAGAAATTATTTTGAAAAAATATTTTAAATATGTTTTTATTGATTTTTCAGGGAGAGGAAGGGAGAGAGATAGAGATAGAAACATTGATGAGAGAGAGCAACATCATTGATTGGCTGCCTCCTGCACATCCCCTACTGGGGATGGAGCCCACAACCTGGGCTTGTGCCCAAACTGAGAATCAAACTGTGACCTCCTGGTTCATAGATCAACACTCAACCACTGTGCCACTCCAGCCAGGTGAAAAAATCCTTTAAAACCACTAACAGTGCTAACAAATAGTCTATAGAGCAAATTTTTGATATTTATAAGGACTATGTTACAAATCCTTAAATTTATTTATAGAATACAATTTACATTTATATATTATACTGTCATTTATAGAATATATATGTATGCTTATAATGTGTGTGCATGTATTTTTATCAGGAAAGTGTGACTGAAAAATATATATCCTTCTCTTAGACTGAGTGACTCTATAGGTAGGAATAATTTTTTCAAGTTAATAAAATAAATTCTTGTTGGAACATTTGTTAAAATAGGTTCAAAATGTCTTTGTTCTTGTGCAGAGCAAATGTCAAATGTGTTCCTGTTTTAAATCCAAGTTACCACTGAATTTGACATTGTATTTAGTTTTTGATGTTCTGCTTTTAAATTTGTCCTAAATTTCCTGTTTCTGGCTGAGGAGAAAATGCTTTCTTTGATCTTTTTCTCGTCTACCACCTGAACTTTCTTTTAACAAAGAAACATATCTTTTATCTTTCCTATCATAGGAGTTTGTAAACATGCAACTGAGAATAGAGAATGCAAAGCTGTATGGAGAAGTGCATGCTGGGCTCATTCTTCAGCTAAAAGTCTTTCTCTTCCACACCAACCGGGCAGAGAGGGTAAGGCAGATTGGCACCCTACAGAATTTTTTAGTTACCTCATGGATTTCTCAGACTAGCTTGTTTATAACTGAGATACTAATTAATCCATGAAAGCTATGGGTCCCTAATATTTAAAATTGGAAAGAGTTCAACAGCAAGTGAAGAGGAACAGAAAACACCACCCCAAAATATGCCTCTCTGGCACGGGATTATTTTAGCTGATTATGTTTAAGAAACAGCAGACATAGGGAAAGCTCTGAAAACTGAGTGGAAGTTACCCTTGAAAGAGACATTTATAAGGAAAATCTCCATTTGTAAGGAGTTTCTGTACCAGAAAGTGAGGGATGACTAAATCTTTAGAAAGTTTGATCAATGGAGAAGGCAAGGAGTTAAATCTGCCTGACAACCCCTGTTTACTGTGCTTTTCCTGGGAATCCCCCTAAACTGGCCTCCCCTCTTCCCCAGCATCTTTTGTTAGAGGCTTGGGCCATTTCTAGGAGTTACTCAGTTTTCCTGGGTCTCTCCCAAGGATACAGAAGGTCTATATGTTATCAAACTTCCTTTGTTTTTCTTTTGTTAATCTGTCTTTTTTATTGCAGGGGTGTCTCAGCCAAGAACCCAGTGATACTGTTGTAATTAACCTAGTTAGTAGTAACAGGAAAGGAGCAAAGGGAAGGCCAAATATTATAGACATGTCATTTAGGCAGTTTCACCAGGAAGTTAAAGCTTTACACTCCCCAGGGAGCCACCAGTCTATTCCCTACAGATTGCTGGAGGAAGGCACTGAACAGGGGGCGAGAGAGACATGACCAGTAAAGTTTGGGTGACATTGGAAAGGTACTTGTTTGTCAGTCACACCTGGGAAAAGGTCACTGGCCAGAATGGGCGTGGCCACTGCAAGCACAGGAACATTTAATCCCCTAAACAAAAGAGTTAGCTCTCTTGTTTTTTCTTGGTTCCTCTTATGCTCTTAGCGTGCTGTGTGTGCTCTTGATTAACTCCCAGTTTTGGGGGCTCTCACACTCCTGCTTCCTGCATTCACCCACATGACCACCCCTACACACAATGGACTAATGGACTATATAACTAGCCTGCTGCTGAACTGGACCCGGCTGCAATGTGGAATGGAAACTGTGGACACTGACTTTGCTTTTAGCTCGACTGAAGCCCCAGCTGCACTCCTTCAAGAACTGGATTAAGGGAAATGGGACTTTGGAAACCAAGGGGTGTAATTCAACGCAAATAAAAATCACTCATCCTCCTGTGTGAGTCTCAAAAAATTCTTTTTCTTGCGATATCATAAGGACTCCATCCCCAATACCTCAATTCCCCCGATAACACTAGAAGGGTAGAGAAAAAAGTATTTTTCCTCCCCTTCACAAGGGTGTTATATTTATAAAATTTGTTTTTAAGTTGGCTGTTGACACTTGGGAACTCATTTATTCAAAGATAAAATGATATAAATGATAATTGGTCCCCAGGCTAGCCCGTGTGAAAGGATTTCAACCTAGAATGAAACCAGAGGATATGAAATAGAGAATGTCATGCATGCCCCCTCAGAAGAAGAGAACTTATGAACTGAGAGACTGACTCCCTGTAAATGTCTGATTAAAGAAGGCTGAGACTCCCCGGAAGCTTGCTGCAGCATGGGTTACCACACTGTCATTTCTCTGCTACTCCTGAATGAGCTCAGATTCTGGGAACCTGAGCTTGCCTCAGTTAATGTCTTCATTTAAATTGATGCCATAAATTACAGGTCAGCTGTACAACACTTTAGCAAGCAAGGAGCACCAGGCACAGACAGTAGAAATTCCTTGTTGACTTTTTCTCTTTTCTTTTTTTAGACAGGGCATGTGAGGACTGGCTCACAAATGGACACTTGGGGCAACAAAGAAATAACAGATTAGCTCCTCCATATGTTGCTAAGATACAAGAAGTTCCCCAAAGTGATGGTGTTAAGCAGAGGTAGTTAGCTAGTTATTAATAAAGAGAGGGACCAAAGGGATTCAGACATTGAGCTTAATAAACGAGGGAGCTGAATCAAATATTAAGCTTAATAAACTGGGAAGCGAATCACACATTGGGCCTGCTTCACTAGGAAGTTACAGCTTCCCATTAAGCTGGATTTACTAGGAGGCTATAGCATTAAATTCATGTACACACTCCAGGGGACTGTGGAGGAGACTTAACCCTCCAAGCAGCCAGGAAAATCTTCCGGGGGGTGGGGTGGGGGGGGGGTGCTGCCTGATGATACCAGTTTATGGGATTTAGGAGGAGAGAAAACTCCTCTGCTCAGCACATGCACAGTAGAAACCAGAAGACGCAACAGAATTCTTAGAAGTCAACATGGCACAGGGGAGGAGCTTCTACTTGAAGCATGTGAACTAAAAGCCAAAAGGTGATATAAAGAGGCAGAGCCTAGCCTGGAAAAATCTGGGAAAAGAATCAGGTTGGATAGGGGGCATGAAACCCTGGTAGGTCCAGGAAAGGGATTGGTTAAGGGCAGGGCCCAATGAGAGCCCAGGAGAAATCGGGAAGTGGGTTGGATGGTTTGCGGGACACCTTGCCCGTTATGGAGAACCAAGAAAAAACATGGAGGATTGTCAGAAGTTTCAAGGAAGTTGCTGCTAGAGCCTGCCCACCCCCTACATCCCCGAGGGTGTATTATTTCTCTTCACCCCAATAAAAATCTTACCACTACATTTAAACTTCTGCATGCATGAGCCCTTTGAAATTTCTTTCTTGAGACACTACAAAAGAGCC